TGATTCAAGATGTGAGAAATGCGACTTATGTAATTATCTGCAATGCTACACATTAGTACCACAACAAGAAACATAAATATTGCAGCAAATAACCATATGGGGCATGCTTATTTTAGCTTAAATGCACTTAAAAAAATTTAATTTGTTATATCAAAATTTTATTATTATTATTATTAATGTGTTCAAATGTAATTTAGCTCTAACTATGCTTTCACTCATATTGCTTCTCACCCAAGTGTTTGAGATTAAAAATGAAGTGACATTACCTAACGTAATTAACATAAGCTGAGTAGAGTGAGGAAATAATTTGAGTTCGATTTTCTTAGCTAAGGATTAGTCTCATAGTTAACTCAAAAAATTAAAGTTTGTGAGAATACCTGAGGCCAACTTGTCTCAAGTAGATAATTACAGTTTGTATAAAAAAAAGTGACATTTCACTTTATAAAATTAATTTACTTAAACTATAATAATTGTTATAGTTAAAAGCCTCTAGATTGTGAGGTAAATCATCAAAATCCTTAAGATTATATATACATAAAATCGTCTCAGTTAAAGAAATTTTAATATAATTGCATTGTTTACTTTCTCCTCATTTTTCCCGTGCCTTTTTTGGAATTCAAAGCTTGGCTTGTAAGTTCTCTGGTGAATGCTATCATTCGTAGCTATCATGATTTTTGCAACCGAAAACAGTAACGCTTTCCCCTTTCTCCGCTTTCTTTGCAGGCAAATGGTCCATAACCATGTTGATTGAGATTGACTTTGTAGAAAACTTTTGAATAATGCATATCTTATATCTATATTATAATACAAAAGCCTAAAGGGAAAAGTATACAGCGGTAGCTTGTATAGTAAAATTAATGGTGGTAATGATAACAATTAAAGGACAAAATATGCTTCTATCAAAAAATAAATAAATTAAAGGACAAAATGTGCTTTTCGACACTAGTGATTGTTCTAAACATGATTTGTAAATGCTGTATTACCTAGTTAATGCGGTGAAATATTATCTCTGATTAAAAAAGTCATAAACATACAAAGTATATCTTTAAAATAATGCTACTTGTTGGTATGCAGATGGTTTGTCCCATATTGCTTTGAAGTTTGAACATCCATGTCACTGTGATGTTGTTAGCAGAGCCTTTTATTCACTCCATTCAAGAGATTTTGAGTTTCCCAATGGCAATATTACATAGAATCCATTAAGCTCTTGGAGTTCTGTATATTGTTATCTTCAAGAATAAAGATGAGCCCCTACTCCTCTTAGCATGAAAGGGAGGGTGGAAATCAAGCACTATTGGTAAGACTAAGTGGATATTTTGATTGCTCAATCATGCACTTGCTCTCTTAACAAATAAAGTTTAGGTGAAGTGTAGGTAGCAAATACATCTAAGTACCTTATAATTGACATTCTTTATTATATGAAGCGTTTGAAGTTTGAACATTTTTAACTAGTGGAAGATTATATTTACACCTTTTATAATATGATTCGCTTTTTATGTAGTTACTGCATATAAGCCTAATACGACATCGTTTTGAGGTCGAAATCATGATGTTTTTGTAATTTTAATTTATTTCAGGGTTATTATAGTCTTTATAATTGTAATTATTTAATTTTTTTAATCCCAAAACGATGTCGTTTTGGGATTAAATGTAGATAACTTATCTGCATTAACTAGATAAATATTATTTTGTTTATAACACTATAGCTTAATAGTTGATTTTCGCCAATCAACGGTTATTATTTTTACAAATCAAACTCATTAATTAATTATTAATTCACAATAAATGATAAACGTTGATTGACGGAAATCAATGGTTAAGATATGATTGTAAAAGGTTGTAAACGAAAATAAATTGTAAGTATAACTTTCCTCTTTTAATTAATAAAATTAGAAGCTTCAATATATGTCAAGTTCAAAATATATCCAAGTACCATATAATTGACATTGTAACTTGTGATGGAATCTACATGCATTGTTCCATTCAAGGTATGTAGTGTACTCAAAACTGAAACTTAAACCGAGTATTGCAAATTATCTTTCTAATACATGCATCAAATCCCTGTTTATGCATTCTTGTTAATATTTCCCTTTCATGATTGGAGAGGCTAAATCCATGAATGCTAGAAACGCATACCAGCCAAAGCGTGTACGTAGCTAAGTAACGTGTTGTAGTAACGTAGAACATTTTGAAGATGTAGGTGAAAGTGACAGCAATGAATAGGACAAGAGATAAGAGGGAGGGGGTAATAAAAAAGACAGCTCCCAGAAATCCAGAACTTCTGCCTTCGGCAGATATTTGTTTGGGTATATTTAACAAATAAATTGAAATGTCTTCTGAAAAAGGGAAGCCCCATGCCCCATATAAAATAAGCCTACATTCAGAGGGAATCCTAGGATTAGATATTATTGTGAGCTTTGCAAGACAACTTTATTGCCCTTTCTCAAATCAATTATAACTTTCAGAAGAGGCTCAAGTCAAAGGTATTCGCAAATTGATTTTCCATCTTGCCCTCTTTTTTTTCTATCATAAATAAGACCTTTATTAGGGACCACATCTGATCACAGGTCACAGTAGATTCTAATCTCTTTGAGAATTTTCAGAAGGGATCACAAATTGTATTATGAACGAGGATCTCAGTTAATCAATAGATTTAAGCTCCCTCTTGTGGGATATGAGTTAATCCTTAACTGACTACATCCACCCTACTTGGTATGTTGCTTTTGTATTTACTTAATACAAATGTGTTGTTAAAAAAAAATTAAGGTTCTTTATTATTGCAGATTGAGAGCTTAACAAAACTAAGAGCATAGAGGTATTGTACGAGGATCACGACAGACCTTAATCTTTTTGAGAATTTTTAGAAAGGACCGCAGATTGTATCACAAACGAAGGTATCACGTTAATCAATAGATTCGAACTTTCTCTCGTGGGATAGGAGTTGATCCTTAACCAATTATGCTCACCCTAATTGGTATGTTGCTTTTATATTTACTTAATATAAATGTGTTGTTAAAAAAAAAAGACTGAGATTCCTTGTTATTGCAGATTGAGAGCATAACAAAATTAAGAACATACAGGTATTGTACGAGGATCACGGGAGGCCCTAATCTCTTTGAGGATTTTTAGAAAGGACCGCAGATTGTATCATAAACGAGGGTATCGCGTTAATCAATAGATTCGAACTTTCTCTCGTGGAATAGGAGTTGATCCTTAACCAATTACGTCCACCCTAATTTGTATGTTGCTTTTATATTTACTTAATAGAAATGTGTTGTAAAAAAAAAAGACTGAGATTCCTTGTTATTGCAGACTGAGAGCTTATCAAAACCGAGAACCCAAAAGTATCGTATGAAGATCATGGCAGACCCTAACTTTTTTTAAGGATTTTTAGAAGGGATCACAAATTGTATCACGAACGAGGGTTTCGCGTTAATCAATAGATTTAAACTTTCTCTTGAGGGATAGGAGTTGATCCTTAACCCTCTGCGCCTACCCTAATCGGTATGTTGCTTTTGTATTTTGATTAATATAATTTTTTTTGTTAAAAAACAAAATGAGATTTCTTATTATTACATATTGAGAGCTTAACAAAACTGAAAACACATAAGTATGCATGAGGATCACAGCAGACCCTAATTTCTTTAAAAGTTTTTAGAATGAGTGTCTTAATCAATGGATTCAAACTTTCTCTTATGGAATAAGAATTGATTCTTAGCTGACTACGCCCGCCCTAATTTGATATGTTGCTTTTGTATTTACTTAATAAAATTATAAATGTGTTATTAAAAAAACTGAGATTCCTTGTTAATGCATATCGAGAGCTTAACAAAACTGAGAACTAGTACCACCAACTAGATTTTCACATTAATCAACCCATTCAAACTTCCTCTTATGGGATAGGAGCATATCCTTTACCAAATGTATCTATCCTAATTGGTATATTGCTTTTATATTTACCTAACATAAAGTTGTTGTTAAAAAGAAAACCAAACATTTTATTTTATGAATGAAGCATGCATTTTCCTATTTACTTTTTTCATTTGGGGTTTATATTTTCATTTTTCACCAACCCAAGATTAAAAACTTTGTGAAGATAAGTTTCGTTTTTTTATCAAGAGAAAAGATCATTATGCTCCAAAACCCAATCACTTATGTTGAAGTGTGTGGCCCCACATGCAGTCAGAGAGGAGTTTTATGCAGCTTTCATTCACTGATCACTGCCCATTTCTCGTGAAGCATACATGCCAAGGAATTTCCTTCCAAATCTCTCTCTCTCTAAATGAGACATAGGAAAACACCTGGTCCGTGAACACTGTACCAAAGCATTGTACTCTTCTCTCATTTCATCACTTGTGTTCACTGAACTGAAGAGTGAAGACGTTTTCCTCTGCATCGCTGCGGTCACTTTCTCTGTTGCATACGCAGTTTTTTCTTCTTCTGCTACAAAGTATGCCATGTTTCTTATGCTACCCATGCTTCATAATGCACACCCTTCTTTTTGTTTGTTTTATTTATCCTTCTTGTTTTGCTTCCCCTGAAAGTGAAAGGGTTTGGGTAGTTTGTTCTGTATTTTGTTTTTTATTTTATTTTTTTGTTAGTAGCAGTACTTTGTAGCACTTTTATTATTATTGTAGACATATCTCAAATGGGTTTTCTTCAAAATGTTGATATATGATTTGGGGTTACTGTATTTCAGGGCCATCCCTGGTGGAAGCTTCGAAAGTTTTTCCCTTGAAGCTCTGCATCTTCATTGAAGCAAGACATATAACAAGGGGAGACTCGGTTCCAGATTCTCTATTGCAAAATAACGAAAAGGGAAAGTTCATTGTGATGGAAAGTTGGGTTTTTTGAGTGAAAAGATCAAGAAATAAAAGTTTTTGATGGTGCGGTGAAGAGTTTGGTAGAGCTTTGGTCACAGTTTTGGGTTTTGGAGAAGAACACTGTTGAGTGTAGTGGAAGTACCAATACTTCATTTCATCAGAGAACAGTGTACACTGATGGATATTCTGTGCTTGTTGCATCTTCTTCTAGCTTTGTATCTATCAAAATCTGAGCTTGTTGGTGCTGAGTTCCAGGACGAAACTATATTGCATGCCATCAACCAAGAACTTAGAGTTCCTGGATGGGGTGATGCCAACAGCTCAGTTTACTGCAATTGGCAAGGAGTGAGCTGTGGTAATCATGCAATGGTTGAGAAGCTCGATCTCTCTCACCGGAATCTTCGAGGTAATGTAACTTTAATGTCTGAGCTCAAAGCTTTGAAGCGGCTTGACCTTTCAAATAATAACTTTGATGGATTGATTCCTCCTTCTTTTGGAAATTTATCTGATCTTGAAGTTCTAGATTTGTCTTCAAATAAGTTTGAAGGTTCAATTCCACCGCAGTTGGGTGGTCTCAGAAGCCTCAAATCATTAAACCTTTCCAATAACTTGCTTGTGGGAGAAATACCTATGGAACTTCATGGCTTAGAGAAATTGCAGGAGTTTCAAATTTCTGGTAATCATTTGAGTGGTTTTATACCTTCTTGGGTGGGCAATTTGACTAGTCTGAGAGTTTTTACTGCTTATGAGAATCGTTTAGATGGCAGGATTCCAGATAATCTAGGCTTGATTCCTGAGCTTCAAATACTTAACCTGCACTCTAACCAGCTTGAAGGCCCAATACCCGCTAGCATTTTTTCTCCAGGGAAGCTAGAAGTTCTGGTTCTCACCCAGAATAATTTTAGTGGTGATCTTCCTAAGGAAATTGGGAATTGCCAAGCCCTTTCCAATATTCGAATTGGAAACAACCACCTAGCAGGTACTATTCCTAAGACCATTGGAAATCTTAGTAGCCTAACCTACTTTGAAGCTGATAATAATAATCTTTATGGTGAGGTAGTGCCAGAATTTGCTCAGTGTTCTAATCTCACCCTCTTGAATTTAGCTTCAAATGGATTTACTGGAACAATTCCACAAGAATTTGGACAACTTATGAACATTCAGGAGTTAATTCTTTCTGGAAATAGCCTATTTGGTGATATTCCAAAATCAATTTTGAGTTGCAAAAGTCTTAACAAGCTTGATTTTAGCAATAACAGATTCAATGGGACAATACCAAATGAAATCTGCAATATCTCTCGGTTGCAGTACTTGTTATTGGATCAGAATTCCATAAGAGGAGAGATCCCTCATGAAATTGGAAATTGTGCAAAACTTCTTGAATTACAATTGGGCAATAATTATTTGACCGGAATTATCCCTCCTGAAATTGGTCACATTAGGAACTTACAGATAGATTTAAATTTGAGCTTCAATCATCTTTATGGACCACTGCCCCCTGAATTGGGAAGACTGGACAAACTTGTTTCTCTGGATGTTTCAAACAATCGGCTCTCAGGTAATATCCCAGCTGAGCTTAAGGGAATGTTGAGCTTGATAGAGGTGAACTTCTCAAATAATCTGTTTGGAGGCCCTGTACCAACATTCATTCCATTCCAGAAGAGTCCTAGTTCAAGTTTTTTGGGCAATAAAGGGCTTTGTGGAGAGCCATTGAACTCCTCGTGTGAAGATCTTTATGATGATCACAAAAGTTACCATCACAGGGTTTCTTACAGAATCATACTGGCTGTAGTTGGGTCTGTTTTGGCAGTTTTTATGTCAGTAACTATAATTGTCTTGCTGTTTATGATCAGAGAGAGGCAAGAAAAGGTAGCCAAAGATGCTGGGATTGTTGATGAGGGAACTGATGACAAACCAACTATAATAGCAGGGAGTGTTTTTGTTGATAATCTAAGACAAGCAGTAGACCTTGATGCTGTTGTTAAAGCAACTCTGAAAGATTCTAATAAGCTCAGCAGTGGAACTTTCAGCACAGTTTACAAGGCAATCATGCCTTCTGGGGTGGTCTTATCTGTTAGGAGACTGAAGTCCATAGACAAGACAATAATCCACCACCAGAACAAGATGATTAAAGAACTTGAAAGGCTGGGCAAAGTCTGTCATGATAATCTAGTGCGACCCATTGGTTATGTCATTTATGAAGATGTTGCTCTTCTCTTGCATCATTACTTTCCAAATGGAACATTGGCTCAGCTTCTTCATGAATCTACCAGGCAACCTGAATATCAGCCTGACTGGCCTGCTAGGTTATCCATTGCCATTGGAGTGGCAGAAGGTTTGACTTTCCTTCATCATGTGGCAATTATCCATCTTGACATTTCTTCTGGCAATGTTCTTTTGGATGCAAATTTTAAGCCATTGGTTGGCGAGATCGAGATTTCAAAACTTCTAGATCCAACCAGAGGCACTGCAAGTATTAGTGCTGTTGCTGGTTCCTTTGGTTACATACCACCAGGTATACTATTTTCTGACGTGCAGTTCTCCCATTTATTCTTACTACTGACTTTTATTATGTTTTGCATGCTTCATAATACATTTCTCCTGTAATGCAGAATATGCATATACAATGCAAGTCACAGCACCAGGAAATGTTTATAGCTATGGTGTTGTTCTGTTAGAAATCCTTACAACTCGACAACCAGTTGATGAGGATTTTGGTGAAGGTGTAGATTTGGTGAAGTGGGTTCATAGTGCTCCAGTAAGAGGGGAAACTCCAGAGCAGATACTGGATGCAAGGCTTAGCACAGTTTCCTTTGGTTGGAGGAAAGAAATGCTTGCTGCTCTAAAGGTCGCGTTGCTATGCACTGACAATACACCAGCCAAACGACCAAAAATGAAGAATGTAGTAGAAATGCTTCGAGAGATAAGGCAAAACTGTGGATAGCAAGCCCCTCGAGTTTTCTGTGAGGTGGTCAACACCATTGAAGATGCGATGTACGTGAAACACTCACGGATATAGAGGAACTGATGAGTTTCAACTTACATCTTTATATTGTAGTCTTGTATCAGGAATCATTTTACATGGTGAAGGTGGTGTGTCAAAGTAAATTCAAGGCCATTGGCATTGATAGATCTTCACTTTTTCTAGTTTGTCCAAAGGATTGGTTGTGAAATGACAGCTTATCTATTTGAGTTGGACTCTGAATTAAGTTGGGGGATGATACATGCAAGAAGAGATCTTGATACATGATAATATGATATATCAGTTCCTATTGCATATGAGCTAGCTAGTGCACTGTTTTCATATTGTATTTTACTCATTTGGGATATGCATCCATCTATCTATTAGTCTCTTCCCATTGAAATCGATAGTTCTTGTTTATTTTTGTTGAGATCGCAGACTGTACATCTGAACTGTGTCAATACATGCAGTACCTTCTACTGGATGTGTTTTACTGTTTAGAGAGACTCACATCTCAACCACTTTCGTTGCCCAAAATATTATGATAAATACATATATCCAACACATGTAACTTACTTGTCAATAACAACATTGTCTTTGTTTAACAAATAATCTAACCTTTATGACCATATTGTTTCAGCCTTTAGGAACTAACTAGATATGTAAAAATTAGGATGACAGAAGTCTAAAAACAAGGTAGGTTATTGGTTCCACTTTTAAAGGAAAAGGAAACAAATTATTGTTATATTATCTACACTTGGTCTATAAAGGAAATTAAAATAATGAAAGACAAACTTGTCTGGCTATGTTGTGCTTGGTAATTGAAATATACAATACTTACAGTTAATGGCACAACTCAAGTGGAAGGACAACTTTCTTCCTTTTTCTCATTAAAAAAAAAAACACATTTTCTTATATAACACTTAAAGCAGATATCAAATGAGACCGAAAGTTTTAGAGACATAGATAGCAGCATTGCCCTCATTTAACCAAAATGATCTTGAACTTCAACTCATGGGATATGACCAACATGTCAGCTTCTGTTGAGTTGTTGTATCATCTGTACTATTGAGGACAATCTAAAATCAGTGGCTGTTCAAAGGAAATGAGACCATGATTTCCAACATCAACAATTAACAATTTGTGGAAACAAGTTATGACAAGCATGTTAGGTGGCTTAACACTGTTATTCTTGGTGATGTACATAATCAAGGTATTTGATGGTTCCATATATATTTATACGTGCATCGGTGCATATATCTAAAATGAAAGAAACTGAGAGTTTATGAAATAAAATTAAAAATCCTTCTTTCTTCTTTAAGGGAAATATTGATTTATTTCTCGTTATTTAGTATTTGCTAATTGTAGAATCATACAAAGACTTTTCAGTCTTTTCTGTTTGATTTTCTCCTAGTACTATCAAACATAGAATCCTGGTTTTCAGCGCAAATTTGTCCTGCATTACAGTAGATTTTTTCGTTTCAAACCACATGCATATGATTAATAGGGATAGGATATTATTACTACCCTATCTTAACCGTTGATTTCCGTCAATCATCAATTATCATTTATTACAAATTAATAATTAATTAATAAATTTGATTTATGAAAATAATAACCGTTGATTGGTGAAAATCAACAGTTAAAATATGATAATAATATTGATAGTAACATTCTTTGGCAGTAACCATATCATATCCCCAATTAATATGCATATTGTGTAAGTCTTAGAATCAAATCTAAAACTAAATCAATCAAGTTTTATTACAAGAATTCAACCCAATAACATTTAACCTAAATGAGTTTAAACCATTAGGATGGATCCATAATTTAGAGCAGGAATGTTTTGGACATAGGGACTGTATTATGCAGGCCCATTAGCTAATTTTTTTTTTTTTTTTTTGCTTGGGGTCCATTTCTTTTTTTAATTATATTTTAATTAACAAATGTTTCAAATATTTATAATAATCAAATAATTTTTAGAAAAAAGTAAAAACTTATGAAACTATGATATTTAACTTTTTTTTTAAAAAAAAAACTTCTGAAAAATTATATTAATTTTAAAAAATACTATGCAAACGCATTCCAAATCTAAAATAACCCAAAACTTGTTTTCCTAAAATAAAAAGAAGAAGAAATAAAGGTATTCTTAGAAGGAAATAATGCATCTGATGATGCAGGATCATGATTAATTTGCAAAAGAAGAATAGTTTTCATAGCATTGAATTTACTTTAACATACATTCACACGTAATTTAATATTTCTGCACATTGGTTATTATTTTTTGTTTTCCAAACTTCTTTCGAATGATATTTTCTTTTTAAAATAAAAATAAAAATAAAAAATGTACACATTGTTATACAGGAGGCAACAAGTCATACATAATTATAACAAAAGGTAATGATTAAAGGGGTAGGGGAAGGGAACCTTAGAAAATTCCAAATGGGAAAGCTTGGATGAGAGAGACACAGAAAGAAACTGGGTTGATGCACGAGAGAGGTGAGACAAGAAATGATACAAGGCTCATGATGCATGTCTAATAAAACGCACAATAATAATCAATTTAGTTGAGTTGCTTATGTTACGCAATATGCATTAGAATACAACTATTACGTTTTCATTATTATTTTTAGTTGTGTCAAACTACAAAATAATAAAAATACAAAGCTAATTATAGTGTAACAAATCTTATTTTTCTTACATTCGCTTTGTTGTAAAGTTGAAATATTTAATGTTTAATTATTAGTGTTCTATTCAGTTATAGTTAGCACTAAGATATGTTTTTTCAATAATATTTTTGAAGCATGTAAAATTTTGCGAGTTTATAAGTCAAGTTTATGATTTGAGTTTACTAGGGCTCCTAGAGACATAAATCAAGTATGCTACTGGTTCTGGTTTTCAGTGATACCGAGGTAAAGACCAGGCATAAAACTAATCCCAAATATGTATGGACCAATTCAAGATTGCTTCAGTAACAGCTAATTTACCTACAAACACATTCCCAGGTAATACCAACAAAATAAACCCAACATCACACTCAATAATTTCACAGCAAGTAGAGCATATCATCCCAATTTGGATCCTCTTACTAAATGGCACCGTCTAAAAGTAAGCCGACAAGATAACAGAGACAACTGCAGTAGAGGAAGAATAACACCATAAACCACTCGTAATATTTTTAGCCCACAGATGTCTGTTAAACATATTTTTAGGCATTGATTCCCATCCATAGCAAGGTCAAAGACTAAACAAAGAGTTTGAATACATGAACATGTATCATTTAATCCAAGATTGCTTCAGTAACATTTTATTTAGACATAAAAACGTTCACATGGTAAAACATCCAACACCAGTTGAACTGCAAGAGTCTCACCTCAAACATGGTTATGATTTATGGAGGACATCCCATCACAAAGGTGACCCAATTAATTCAAAATCAATTAACAAAAAAATTCAAGACTCAGTGTGAGACTTCACAATGAAATTTTGGCGGCTTATGGGATTCATGACCACTGGTGGACCAGCAGTACGAGGCCATGACTGCAATTTTTTGTCAGTCTCTTCCCACCACTCCTTGTTTGAAACAGTGCCAGGGGTAGTACCTGAAGAAAGAAGTTAGCAGTTACATACTGCTGAAACAGCCAAAAATCAATTTGATTCCTACGGAAAGCGCAACTTACCTCCAAATATCTTCTTGTCTGAAATAATATGATCACAGACCCATGCAACTCCAAATGATCCAATCACAGCAGATATGATATACTTGCCTGACATGATTGAAGAGTAAACTGGACACAAATAACAAGTAAATAACTCAGTCAAAATTCAAAAAATAAAGGAAAAACTAACTCAGAGAGACGTCCCAATAAAAAAAGGATATGACAGAAAAAAATTGCAAAGTCAACAATCAGCGTCCAATTTTTACTAAACTGCATAGGCACTAAAAATATGGAAGCATAACAGCCGGGGTAGCAGGGCAACTAGATTCCTAAACCCTACTTACTCATGAACATAACAATGGAAATCCATGGACGATAAAACTCCATGAAGACAAAATGCTAAATATCCTAACAACCGGAGCCTGGAGGCACCAGGATATTAAATTCCTACACACTCATGAACAAATATAAATAGATCCAAAACGTTAGCTTCAGGAGATATTGCATAGATTAACACAATTGACTACCAAAAAACGGGAACTGCAAGAAGACGAAGCAGCTGAGATACTTCAATAGAAAATTGTAACATAAAACCCCTATATTGCATTTAGGGACAGTTCAAGACCTGTCCAGAAACCAGATCATTAATATGCCCACAGGACTGTGAATTATGTATACAGTACAGTCCAACCCATACGGAGATTAATTACAAGTTTTTGTTGGCATAACCTAAAGAGCATCACTAATAAAATCAAGACATTTACACAATAAAATCCATTACAAGAATCCAGAAGCGTAGATTCATTGGAACCACAGAGTATAGAAAAAATAGAGAACATAAGGCACTGTCGCATAAGATAGAAGATTAGATAAATTTAAAGGCAAATTTTGGAACGCAATATTGGTCAGAACTAAGAACCTAGATTGAACTGAGAATCAAGGAAGGAAATCAAAGTTTCACAAAATCTAATGCACAAATTGACTTACCTAAGTACCAGTATTATTAATTAAACACAATTCCACGACACCCATAGCTACACAATTAATTGGTTGAGTCATTTGAAAAAACAAAAAACAAAAAACAAAAAATGAAAAGAAAAATATCATGGACAGATCAAATTGGAGCGTAATCGATTTTCACAGAATCGACCCAATCGAGCGGATTGAGAAGCGTGAGTTACATAAAAAAGAAGCTGAACGGAAAATGAACAAACATAATCAGATATTTGGGAGAAAAGCTTGGGAGAGAGGAAATCGAGAAGAGGATTAGGGTTAGGGTTCGTACCTGAGGCTTGAGATCTATTGAACTAGTCGCGGATAGTGCGAGATGGAAGAAGAAACAAGAGAGAGCAAGAAACGTTTTTACTTTCTATAGATATATGGGCTAACTCGTTTGGTTTTAATCCACCTTGCCCACTTGGTCCAGTTAAAAAGTTAAATTTCATTTTATAATCCCATGTTTGTTAAATGTGTTTTATTATATGATAAAGTTATTTAAAAAAAAAAAAATGAAGTCAAATAAATTGAATGTTAGGGTGTGTTTGGTAGATGGCATCTTCAAATATTACTAGACATTTGGAAGTGGGTAATTGGTTTGTTCATGTTTGATAGAGGATATTTAAAAATTTGCCAAGTTAACCCATTTGCCTAGCAATTAAACTTAGTATGCAAAATTGGAACAAAAACATGGTGCTCAAATTCTACTTGGAGAGTGGTATTTGAGTGATAGCTAGGTAAGTGAAAAAGATGAATATGAGAGATGTAAAAACTATCCTTTGATGACTTCAACATTAGTTCTCGTTAGGGTTTTTTTGTAAAGGGTTATTTTGTAATTTCAGTCAGGTTTTTCATCAATATTTTCTCTTCAACTAAATATAGATTCAAAAATTTCACTCAATTTTTTCAGTAGTATTTTGTCCAACTAAACAACTTTTTTTTAGCTTTCCTATCTAACTCATTTTTCCTATAAATCTCTAGTAATCACATTTCTCTGATAAAAAATAATTTCACCTGTACCAAACGTCACCTTAATGTCATAAACTATAGTCCCCAGGCACCCTTTTTTTGAATGGCAACCATCTAACATTATTTTGTTAGCAATTTGTGAAATGAATTTATAGAATTTGTCTTGCTTCTTTAACATAAATGTCTATGAATTATGCCTCTCCCTGTTTTTATAGAGAGAGTTTATTAGTTGATTAATTCGGTCCAACCAGGGAATATCACAAGGACGACATGCTGGTACATACAAAGGCTTACCCTGACCTTTGCCACTTATCTTGGAAGACACAAAAATAATTTTGAGTTCAATTGAGAAAACTCTGCACAAGTGCTGGATAAATTGTTCAGTGATTTTTTATTAAACTTCTAGGAACTTAAAATAGATAAAACGGAAAAATAACTCCTAAGAAAATGACTCCAACTACTATCCACTACCAACTGTAATGAGATCGTTTTTCGTTCTTATCTATTGATCTGATAAATAGGTAGTGCCAATTAACAGAAGAAATTAAATAACAATAATCCTAAAATATAGCACAGCACAACTAAATAGCAGCTCCTAATATTAAGCAACATCAGGAACACATGCAGCACACGAATTCGAGACCACGGTTAAATTGAAATAAATAAATTCGTGTCAATCGATTCACATATTTTGTAATAAATAAGGAAGATTTTTATATCTAGCTTCGCTATTAAAATTCGATAAATGTTCTTTATCTATTTTAATTACTAAAATCTTCCAAACTCTTAACAATTTGCAATGTGTTTATTTTAGACAGCCATGAACGAAAACGGAAAAAAAAAAATACACAATTTTGCATGCATAATTTGTGCTTTCCGATACACGGTTTAAGAAAGAATTGATGTTCAAAAAAAAAAAAAAAAAAAAAGAATTTTTTTTTTCTTTTCTTTTCTACTCAACTCCTATTGGCATTGAGTATTGACTGCAATCTTAACCAAACATAGCGTTAATATTTTTATTTTTCGTAATTTCAATCTATTAATTTTCAATAATGCCAACTAGAGTTACCAAACACATCTTTGCAATTATTTTACGTAAACTTTTGAGAATTCCCAATACCATAAAAGATAAATCTACCAGTGAAAGTTAGAGGAAATTCAAGTTCAATATCAAAAACTCATATGTATTGAATCAAAAATCCCTTTTGTGAATATTATACTATTATTTTCTTAAAAATACACTGCAGTTTCTGTATATGTATGTACATGGAATTCAGTAACACTATAGGATCAACAACCAGCAGCTTTCAGAAAGTTATCATAAGGACTTGCTGCTGGCAGTTTGAAAAAGAAAGGTTGATTCTGATTCTCAGTTGCACACAGCATTGGAAGAGAGTCAGAAGTTGGTTTGTACAAATCCACAGCAGTGTTCTCATCAAAGAGAGAATTTCCCACCTGCATCTTATATAACTTAGATTAGAAACTCCATTTAAAACTTGCATATGTAGATAATAATGTTATATAGCTGATGGCCATAAAAAAGGCATTAAGGCCTTATAATTGAAAACTGTGAAATTATAACTTCCACTCTGCAGCCACACATTTTTATCTAGACAATTCAATAAACCTTCATTTTGAATGGGAAGAACTATGCACTCTAAATGTGAATATATATATGGGATATATTTTTCTCATGTTGCATGAGACAAATTATCTCATGCAACACACAAAAAAATGAGTAGGATCCACTTTTTTTCTTTCTCTCTCTTCTTCTTAGTGGGTCTCACTCACTTTTTTGTCTGTTGTATGAGATAATTTGTCTCGTGCATGATGCAACATGAGAAAAACATTTCTCTATATATATTTATGAAACATTTAAAGAAAAGTATAGAATCTAAAAGCAAGGAATTACCTTATGAAAATCCATATGGGAAGAGGAATCCATATTTTTCAATTCATCGTCATGATTTGGTAAAGGGAAGTCAACTAAACATTCTTGCTTCTGTTGGGTACTACTCATCAATCTGGACATTTTCTGCTTTCCCTTCAAAAGTACCTCACAGTTATCAGCCATATCCTTGTAAGGCATATTAAAGGCAGTTGATACAGAAATCCTCCCAGCTTGATGAGGAGTGTCCAAAACCTACACCCAAATTGCGGTGCCAAATTTTGTGTTATTGATGTAAGAAGAGCTTCAAACACAATCCAAAGAACACAAAAATGTATGAGGGCAAGAAATGGGTCACATACTAATTCTAAAAGTTGATCAGCACTCAATAAACTAGGGACCTCGATAGACAATCCTGAATTGTGTTTTATTTGACTTTCAAATGAATCAGGAATAAGGTCATCATCAATTGAAACGACTGAAGCATCCTGTAAAATGTAAAAGTGACTACATCAGTCACAACTCGCAACATGAAAGTATAAACAGTGGAGACAAGAACATATAGACGGTTAATAGTTCCAAACAAAATTCATTCTTCAGAAATCCACATGACACACCATTTTGGGTATATTCATGGTCAATTGAGATCCAAGTTCACCCATATCATCTGGTAAGAATTCTTCAAGCAGCTTCTCCCTTATTGAGGATAATTCAGCCTGCATAAAAGACCAAAGGTTCATAATGTCTAGAAATTGGAATAAGTTTTACCTTCTGACAGTCCAAAACATATATAAGAATTTAAAGCTTTACTTTTGAAAAAATTTCAAAGCTCTTAATGATTTCAGAAGCAAAGAGTTCCCGTGTTTGGTGTATGAAAGATAATAACTCTGAAAGCGTGTCTAAGGCCCTATCATCATCTTCTTTGGATCCATAGTTGATGGTCAGTTCATCAGGTGCAAAGCTGATAGCTTGCAATTTGTGATCTTCAATCAAATGTAGGAAAGGGTCAACCTGAGTCCAGAATATGAAAACATTAGATGGATATAAGACGTTTGCTTTCAAGAATCTTATAAAAAAACAAAAAAACAAAAGAGAAGTATTGGATCTCATCTTTACACTTAAATCATTTTCCATTATCCATAATACTCGATTGCTTGAGATCTGTGACATATATACGTCTTAGAGAAATACAAAACCATTTATATGACTTTTACCTAATAACTTCAACTTTTGGATTGAAATGGTTCTTTACATAATATCAGAGCTTCTATGACCAAGTGGTCACAAATTTGATCGTCATCGCCCCCCATTTTATTAATAAATAATTAAATATGGTGGAATTTCTTAGTAAAAGTAGATGAGGGTATGTGCGTTGTCCACCCTTCAAATCCAATGGATTCTTGTTTGAGGGGGAGTGTTAAAAATATATAAAACCATTAATATGACCTTCACGTAACAGCTTAAGCTTTTAAGTTAAAATGGTTCTTTTCGGTTGAATTCCAAAATCTTCAAGTTCTCAAAATATTGTCCCTATTAAATACCTCCATAATGGCTTACAATGAGGCACAAGATGCACGAATTTTTATAAATGTCTCACCTTTCTCTCTGTAAGCACTTCCTTGGCACTATTGACAAGAGGGACAATGTTGTATGCTTTTGAGGAAAACATAATCATGGTAGTTGCCAAAGTAATGAGTGATCTCCGACGAGATGGTGGCAAAGGCCCTGCAATAAAAAGTAGGAATCTAAAGCTGAAAGGATTGACATTCCAACATCACAGGAAGTTTGTTCTTTCCTGGCTTCATTTATTCACCCACTCCCAATGGAAGCGTATCTAGTTTCTAATAAAATGACCATCAAGAATATTTTCCATATGCTAAAAATCTTTAAGATTCCTATGCCAAGACTTGCTTGGGAAACAATTTGTCATTCATCAGAAGTACTGGTTGTTATCAATCACAATCCGGCATTTCACATTCAATTGAATGCCCATCATTGCAATTCATATCCTTTTGGCTTTAAGTTTTTCATCGAGATAAAAATAAGAAACAACACATCTCAATAGGTATTGTCCGTCTTTCCTGAGAAAATTACAAAGAAATCCTCCAATCAAGAAGGACAGAATCAATTAAAGGCCCCTAAAAAGTACCAAATAACCTACAACATAAACCAGAAATTACAAGCCTTTGAGGAGAGTAAAAACAATTGCCCAATGTGCCACAGAAGTACAGTAACACTTAACACAATATGCAGTAATAAAGCCTCACAAGGTCTTCTGAACTGCAAATGATTAATAGTGATAGTGCTATGGTGTGCTACAGACCAAATGAATTTGAGCAAGAGGAAAGAAGAATGATGGAGTTTTCTAATATCAACTTAGGATATGTTGAAAGACCCAGGAAAAATCAAATCATGTGTAATACAGTATCAAACTGGATTCTCTCCTAAGGACAATCAAATTTTAAGTTTACTATGACTGAGAGCTCACCTTCTTTAAGAGAAATATTCCACAAGGAAAAAGCAAGCTGAAAACTCCGAATTAGTACCTCATGAAAAGAATTCTGCAAAGAAAAAGAAAATTTGGAAAATTATTTTAAAGGAAAAGAAAGTATGACACATTCAAATGGGAAAAAAAGATGGTAAAGAAGACAGTATCAATGATGATGTACAGATGTAGACAGCCTTAAACCTTTTCTCTATTTTAGCAGTATGATCCCTGAACAATGCAAACTGAGATAATAAATCTTAGCAAGAATAATTCAAAACTTTAGGTCAGATCAAGGACATTAATGTTCCATAATACATTCACAAGTACAGTATGAAGATTCATTTTAGCACTACAGTTGTTAGGGAAATATAAATATTTCTAGCAGCAGAAATGAATCCAGTAGACATTTTTGAGACAATAGATGATTAGAGTAGTATTACAATTATAAAAATAATGATATTACATCAAAGCTGTAGATCAAAAGAGACATTTAAAAGTTCCTGAAACAGACCTGAACACCATCAATAACCAACCCACAAAACATGCTGCAATGCTAGAGCTGCACCAAAAAGTACAACCCATATCATAGTCACAATTAACCTAGTTCCTTTGATTCCCAAGTAACTATCAGCTTGTCCCTGTTTTACCTGGATGCAAAATCCTGACTACAATGCACAAGTACAACCAATCCTGACTAATGCCTTGTCCCTGTCGTCCCTTCATTCCTATTTTTGTTCCTTTCCCTTTTTTCATGTTATGAGGAAATTTGAACATTGGAATACTTTTAACAATCTCGCAGGTATCACATATTATCATGAAAAAAACAACATAGCACATACAAAAAGATGGGATCCCTTGTTAAAGTATAATATAAACATTAAAAAGGCTCTCGCCAAACAGCTTAAGCTTTTGGATTGGAATGGTTCTTTACATGGTATCAGAGTCTCGGTGTCACGGGTTCAATCCCCATCACCCTCCATTTAATTAATAATTAATTAAGTATTGTGGAGTTTCTTAGCACAGGTAAGTGGGCCTGTGCATTATCCACCCATCAAGCTCAATAGGCTCTCGTATGAGGGGACGTGTTTAATATAAACCATTAAAAAGACCCTCACCCAAAGCTTAAACTTTTGGGTTGAAATGGTTCTTTACATCCCTTCAACAAATAATATTATTTTAAGATCATATAAGAAGATAGAGTACAATCATGCATCATGAATCCAGTTATTACCTTAGCTCTAGACACAAGCAACACCAAGCTGTATGTATGAGCAATTGCTTCATAATTTGCAGGCATATTTCCAGGAGAGATAGACTGTGCCCAAATTGATGATAACAATCGGTTTATCTGATGCCTACTCAGCCTGAGAGCAGCAGACTCCTGTGTTCAAGTGAAACACAGATCAGTAATGCTAACCATAGTAACACCAAGTTCAAGCCAATGTAAAAACAACATTTTGTGGTTAGAGCGGGGTTTGTAACACCCCATGTTTGTTTATTTGAAGCATGAGCAATAACCATATAACTTTTTAGCTTCTGGTAAGTTGAAGGCAATTACAACTGTAGGACCATAATCAAATTGTTGATGGATACTCATCAATGCAAGACTCACCAAGTTCCGACTATCATTGTTTGCAGTAATTTTATTCACCTCAGTTAGTAGAGGAGGGTTATTCACACTAGATACCCGACTATGGGTTGACTTCAATCTGTTTAGGATCCCACCATTGCTATTAGCTGGTTCGATCTCTCCAGCAACATCTTCTTTGTTATATTGACTTAATTTTTCACTTGAAGAACGTCTCTCCAGTCTTAGCTTCTCAAATAAAGCAGCTGAAGAGGAGAAAACAGAGACTGCCCTCGAGAGTGATCGTGGAACATCCACTGCCTTAGAGTGAGAAACAGACAAGCATGGACGAGGGTATACAGAGTTTGGCACAAGAATGATAGAAAAGATGCGGTGAGCTACCACTCGTGTTTCATGATCTGGATGGACCATAGCCAGGAGTAGTTGATGAAACAATGCCTCAGGGAATGCCTGAGGAGGAAAGTAGGGTTTTAATATCACGTATATCCATAAACTAAAACTAGCGAACCACAGAGGAAAGAACTAAACCAGGAATATCCACTCCTTGCCTTGTTCTGACAGGACATATTTGGAAAGGAGACTGCAATTTGAGCAGTCCGATAGACAGCATAGACTGTGGCTCTGGATGTCGTCATTATAGTTGAGATATTCTCTAACATCACAGCCACAACATCAAGAATTGGGTCTGCTTCTCCAACCTGTTCATCAGTAACAGCTTAGATCTCTTCCTTTATCTTTATGATAATTCTATTAATGAATGACAGCCATATATACTATAACTTTATCAAAGTTTCAAAGACAACATAAAACCAACAAATTAATCATCCAAAGAATTTATAAACCAACAAATTAATCATCCAAAGAATTTATAATTCAATTAGTCTGAAAGTTTAGGTATAAACTTGATTGAAAGCTGTGGGAAACGTGATGAACCTTATTTGATAACTGTACAAGGCACTTATCCACAACTTTTCTGAAATTCTTGTTCCAATTGATTGTGTCAGCAGCCAGATTTGAGTTATCTAGGGAACAGTGTATGCTCTTCCGTAAATGTCTCATCATGTCACTTACTGCACCAATTATTGATACAGAAGGTTGGACCTTTGCATATTGGGCAAGCGCAGTGGTTACCTCAACAATGTCTAGCTGCATGTTGGGATCTTTAAGGACAATTTTATGATCCATATGCTTGATTAACATCGACAACAAAACATGTGTGTTTTTCTCTGCGACAACCACATGTGGGGAAAATGAAAGAGAAAACAGAAGAGCAGGAGTAATTAACAAAAGATTATATCACATTAGAGAACTTTATGATCAAATAGAAAAATAGTATACCAGAATCATCCATTAAAAATAGTATATCCTTTAAAACAGAAAAGGCTAGGCCATGGTTTATAGACCATAGATTTCCATTATCAAAGTATCGGAACAAAGATTCCATCACACGCCGTATGGTAGTCCCCTCCTTGGCTAAGTTGGCCATATTATGTAAGCAAACCCCAGACCAAAAAGAGGGATTCTTTTCATCTTCCCTGCATGAATTTATGAAACAAAAACCAGGTAAAGGTATTGAAATTAATAGAGACAGCATAAATCCATTTCATATATTTCTGCTGATTAAAACAATTACATTGCTACATTTACTTCGCCTTTGTCATTAACAATTTCACTCCAGTTTCGATTTCTCTTTTTGACATCCAGCAATGGAGAAATTTGACCCTCATTTGTCATCACGTCTTGGACCGACCTATTCTCAAGACCTTCTTCCTCGTGATTAAGGCCTGCTGAATTTTTCTTAGGAACTTCATAGTTTTCCAAGACAGCAGAAACAATCTACAATGAGATAGAAATTTCCACTATAAATCAAACGAGATATTTAATATTTTTTATTAACACCTGTATAAGTTACATATGAGGAGATAGTCACAAGGAAAAGTCAGCCACACACAACTTATCTAGCAAGGAGTGAAACAGAACATAATAAGTTGATATTAAATTCTTCAAGAGAGAATACAGACATGATGCAAAACCACTCCATATGAAAACCCGACTTGCAAATAAGGGTGAAGAAAATCTTTGTAGGAAGACTTACCCTTGCATTTGATGCAAAGAGGCATGATGCAAATTGGGATAAAATCCCCTTACTCATTTAAAGCTCTGATAGTGACATTATTGCGTGCAATATTGTCAATTTGACAAAGCTGGACTTACTGGAGGGATGTTACACAATTTTCACAGCAAATTAAGCTATTAAATTCCATTGAGTGCAATAGGAGCTCTAGATTCCTAACAATGATTTTTGTTTTATATAGGGGGCGAACCGGAGCAGTGGTAAAACTGTTCCTTTATGACTGAAAGGTCATGAGTTCGAATCCAGGAAACAGCCTTTTTGCAATTATGCAAGGGTAAGGCTGCGTACAAAGATTTTTTCCACCCCACACTCGCTGGTCGAATTTAACGGGGAGTGGTTTTTTTTTTTTTTTTATAGTTTTGAAAATGCAAGGAATTTATATATTGACTAATATAAGTGAAAGCATGTCATTTTCATTTCCCACACAAAATAACATGTTCATGCGTTGCTGCAACCACTTAAAAATATAAATCCCCTCTACTGAGAAAAAGCACAATAGCCATAATCAGCAGGTATGAGAAAACTATATAAGTAGTCATAAGATTGAAGAAGTAAAAAACTACTTACATTATCAAACTCAACTGATATGTGTGAATTTACACCCATAAACCGAACCTACACAGCAAATTAGTTCATTTAATTCTTAAGGATAGGTATACAGATTATACTACCCCTGAAGAAAGGAGGTAAATACTAAGAAAGCATGAAATACATAAGAGATTGTCAATCCATTTTGTTCCAGCATCTTCACATGGTAAATCAGAGGCATCCAATCTCAAAGCCAGCGAATAAAAAAAAGAGAGAGAGAGATTAGAACTCAGTACGATTACCATAAATTTATGATGCAACCTATAACCTAAGCTTTTTCTGATGCAAAGTAAGAGGATTGATGTAAAAGCAAGAACTTCTAATCATAAACAAAAAAAAAATGTTAAAAACAAGAACAACTAAAGTTCCAATAATTGTCTATTCACACAGGTCCATAAACATTATTAAACAGAAATGGAAAGACTCCTTATTTGCGCATTAGGCATTAACTTAGAACTAAGGCAGGATCAAGAAATTATTGGACAATTGAGGATAAAATAGAAAGATAATCTAAGATTATTTGGAATTTGGACAGTCATAAAGGAGAGATGCAACTGCCCCATTGTAAAAAGGTGGAAAAAATGCAAAGAAAAATATATGAAAAGGATAGCAAGGGCAGTGTTGGTGCCCCTAAAGGCGAGCACAGAACGAAATTTTAGACAGGATTATTGCAAAAAGACATCAACGCCTCTTGCAGCCATTTTTGTCACTACACAGACAGAAGAATGGCTAAGACCTAAGAAAATCTAGGCAGATAATGGCCAGCGAGATATGCGCGACTGCAAAAAAAATAAAAAATAAAAAATAAAAAATAAAAAATCTAGAATTGCTTGTTTTTCTAAGTTCAATTTAGTTTGGACCAGAAGAAAACAAAAAGCATAGACATTATGATGTTTGGGATACTTGAAATAATACCTAAAGGTCTTTCCTATGCTTTACCTGATGCTAACTATGGATACAAGATAACCTGTTTCTTATGGGGTTCGTACTATGAAATTCTCCCCTCAACATTAAACATGTTCACTGCTGCTCCTATCCTATTAGTGCTGATAAGAACCTGAAAAACAGAGCACGCTTTTTTGAAGCAAAACAGCTAAAATTCCTTCCCCTCTCCTCTCTTCTGCTTTTATCCTCTTCCCATTACCAAATCTGTTTCCGGCACCCATCTGCCACGTGGGCAGGTTGTTATACTGCACCTCACTATGTGCTGATCATACTTCCCTCGCACATTACTCACATTAATCTCTAATCATGCTTCCCTTCCTTGCTATTGTACACCTTAGGAGCTGGGGTCTATCACAAACAAAGCAATATCTATACACAACTATATAAACATATGTATAAATATCAAAAAAATATCAGTGAAGATTAATATATCAAGATTAATATCATTACAGTACAACTTAGTGGAATTAATGTCAAACAAAAATGTAATAACTCCAACTCGTGTGGAACAATTTGTGATTGAAGTGTTAAAAACAACGGTGGAATCATAAAATAAATACCATCGATGAAAGGGCTTGCAAACCGGCTGAACGACTAGTTCTCGCCCTTTCATCTTCCCCTGCTTCTTGAACTAATTGACAGAGCTTTGGGATAACACCTTCTAAGCTGAACAGGTAACTTCCATCAATCTGCAAAAATTCAAAACATATGTGAGTCTCTAGCATTTTTCCTGTAAAAAATTAGAAGGGTAGTAAAAAATTGCAGTTGATAATATATACTATTAATCCACTGAACTTAAAACTTGTAACCCTTGAAGAAACAGGGAAACCAACCTGATTATTTACAAAATCAAAAAGAATGTGACATCCTATAACTCTCATTTCATCCTGCCTTGTTTGATCCAGCAGCGTGTGAATAATACTTAGCAAGCTACTAGCAAATAGTGGCCTGTCAACAAACATAGAAAATAATAAATGCATCAATAGTTTTAAATCTCTTAATTCCAAGAGGTTAAGCAAAGATCACTAAAATAAATTTCTTTAGTGAGTTACTAATATGTAGCCAATAATTGCTGCGAGCATGTAATCATGAAGAAGCAGAGTAAGAAAAAATAAATAAACCCCACATCAATCTATTCAAACTACACATTAGTGAATTGTAACACAAGGTGATTATGCTTTATTTGCCATCTAGTTTTCATAATAAGTAATGATAGAGCATGAAGTTACAAATGTTTCGCAATGACATTCATCACCAGTTCCATCAGATGCTCAATGGGAAAATTTCAAACTGTACCCAAAAAAATTATTAGTGTCTCTGTATAACACACCTCAGTGAGAGAGGAATTTAATATTCAAAAGTGTGGGTATAATCCATATAAGATCATAAAGAAGCCAAAAATATTATTCAATTTTAGTCCTAGTAGATCTGAATATTGCTTAGTATTCCAATCTGGGGGGAATCTTGGTAATTTGGCAGATTTGTGTTGCTGAGTTACTGGGCTAAATGTAAGTGGATTCTGATGAAAAACCTGCAACCTACTTTATAATTTCTTTTCTATTTCATGATCAGTAAAATTTTCAGAAAATGTGGTTGGTGGGGGGGGGGGGGGGGGTGAATCCAAATACACACAATGCATATACAGAGTTTTCTATATAATTATTTTGACCCACTCATAAATCACCTACACTATCAGCATTCACAGTTCAGAAAACCTTAATAAAGATGCTGAACTATCCCAAAATAAGCATCCATAGCACTCCCACACCTCTTCAAAAAAATTTACCTAGGCCTATCAAAACAAGGAAAATTTGGAAGGGATGGTTACAAAGAAGAAGAAAACCAGCAATTCAATAAATGATAGAGAGAGGGGTGAAGGGTGGGAGACAAGTTAACGTAACCAGACTTCGAACAAACCACAAATGGTTCAAGCATCATTGCTGCAAAATTTTTTGTTGAGATATATAAAATCATTAATGTAGCCTCACCCAATAGCTTAAGTTTTTGGGTTGAATTGGTTCTTTACATGGTATCAGAGCCTCAGTGTACTGGGTTCGATCCTAACCGCCCCCCACTTTCTTGTGGAATCTCTTTCTTCGCACAGGTAGGTGGGCCTGTGCATTATCCACCCTTCAAGCCCAGTGGACTCTCGTGTGAGGGGGCATATTGAGATATATAAAATCATTAATGTAGCCTCACCCAATAGCTTAAGCTTTTGGGTTAAATTGGTTCTTTACAATTTTCAATAGACACTCTCAAAAATTCTAAAATCAATCTAATCAGGGATAAATTATATCTAGACAGTCAACACAAGATCTCCATATATATTAGTGTTAATATTAATTACAATGTTTCAATCCTAATTATACAGATATACAGTCCTAAATTAGTTCCTAAGTTTGCTCCTAATTGATTCTACCATATATGCATAATATATTATCATAATTATCTAAAATACTCTAACACTCCTACTCAAGCTAGTGTATATATATCATATGGGTCAAACTTATCACATGTATAGTTGACCCGAGAACCTCTAAGGGTCTTAGTGAAAATGTCTGCAAGTTAGTCATTAGAGTTTACAAATGTCATTGCAATCTCTCCAAACTAAAGTTCCCCGAAACAAAGTGGCAACCAATTTGAATTGCAGTCTCTCCAAATTGAATTTTCCCCGAACAAAGTGGAAACCAATCTCAATGGCCTCAGTTCTTTCATGAAATACAAGATGTCAAAATATATCTACCATAGCCTGACTGTTAGTTTCTGCTCTTGATCTGGCAACCCCAATTTTTTTTTTTTTGCTTTTCCATAATATCAGGATTCCTATAAAAAGAACACACTAGGGGGAGGACCTACACAATCAACATTTGTATAATAACAAATCTCCATATGCCCCTTATCTTCATATAGTAAGCCTCTTCCTGATTCTCCTTTAATATATCAAAGTATTCAAACAAAAACCTCCTGATAAGAGTCGCACAAAGAATCAAGGATAACATGCTCAAAACCAGCTCTGATACCACAAACTTAAGAATTCTAAGAACAATCTAATTGGGGATAAATTGTGTTTTGGACAATCCATACAAGGTCTCCATATATATATTAGTGTTAATATTTGTTAGAGAAATGTAACAAAAAACCTATTAATTGACCTTCACCTAATAGCTTATAATTTTTAGTTTGGTTTTTTACATGGTATCAAAGCCTCTATGACCAAGTGGTCACGAGTTCGATTTTCACCGCCCCCATTCTATTAATAATTATTTAAAGATTGTGTAGTTTCTTAACACTAGTACATGGGCCTATGCATTGTCCACCTTTCAAGCTTAATAGACTTTTGTGTGAGGCGGCCTTCATCAAATAACTTAAGATTTTAGGTTGAATTGGTTGTATCACATGTTATCAGAGCCTGAGTTCGATTCTCACCGCCCCTATTCTATTAATAAATAATTAAATATTGTGGAGTATCTTCGCATAGGTAGGCGTAGCCTGTGTATTGTTCACCCTTTAAAGCCAATGGACTTTTGTGTAATGGGGTGTGTTATAGAAATAAAATATAAAATCATTTATTGGCCTTCACCTAATAGCTTAAATTTTTAGGTTGAATTGGTTCCATACAATATTAATTTACAATGATTGAATCCTAATTATACAAATATACAATCCAAAATCAGCTCCCAAGGAGGCTCCTAATTGACTCTATTATTTATAAATGATATGCTACCATAAGTATCTATGATATTCTAAAAGACATATACAAATCCATCTGTATATAAGCATAAAGGTAATATAAATATGAACTCACATTTGTTCCTTGCAAGAAAACAGAAATTTCTTGTAAATGCACATGACTATTTTTGTTGAATGGAAGTTCTCATTTCGTAGCTCCTTGTAACACCTTTGCTCAAGGGCATTCACAATCTGATCACCAATTAACATTAGTGAGCATAGCAACAGTCTTTAAGGATTAGAAACTTGAGTGTTTTCTAATAAAATAATCAGAACAATTTTATAATCTAGTAACTGAAAAAAGATATGAAAATTAATATATTAGATAAATCAAAGAGGGATACAGATCCAAAAGAAAGGATACACTAAAAACTTTTAGGATTTCCCATGAAGAACTTCTTTTTTATTTTTTATTTTTTAATTTGATGATTCAGAGAAAAGAAGCAAGGATTTGATGTCTGAAATATATTAGTTTCATATTTATTATTAAAAAGTCAAACAGACAGTAAGCAGGAACATTGTGGCAGGTTGAGAGGTACATGAATAATATGTCAAACCTAATGATAATGGATTCCAAGAGAATTGTACAGTTGATGAGAACAAAGGATAACATCTTTAAGTGGGAAAAAGAGAAGGGCATTATGATTACCATAAGCCCATCTAAAATAAGAAGCACATTTAGAACAATACAGGTTAGAGACCCATCATACAAATGTTTAAACTTCTGTAATAGGGCTCTAAGGTGACCTCTCTTCAATGGTTGAATTTCTAGATTTCAATCTAACAATCCTAATTATCAAGAAGCTTTAGATTTGATCTCCATGGTATCTTCACTAGATGTAAAAACATGGAGCTTAGAATCTGTCAGATTTTTCAATTGTAAATTTGTTTTCCTTTTGAAATTTGGAATCCCTCGTACATTACAACTTCTTTTTGGAAGTTTAAAGCTACATCTACAACTGAGGTTTTCATTTGGACAGCAATACTAGTAGGGTTTATACTAATGGTCTGCTGCCGTTGCATAGGCCAGATAAGGCCTTGTCTCCAAATGTCATTGTCTAAATTATGTGTTAAGAGAATTTGGAGTAAACATATACAAGAATCAACGTACACCATCAAAATTTATGTGTTTTTCGTTAAAAGATTCCATAGTCCATACCTTTGGGATGCGTAAAGGATTTTTGGAGGCATAATCGCATAGTTTTCCTATTTTTCTATCATTTGGCCCTTCATCCTGTCAACTCATAAATAAAATAAAAAATCAATACAGCAGGCATTTTGTGAGACAAATACAAGTACAAAAAGAACAAATAAGTAAATTAAAAGAGACATATGTATCTCATGATTAATTTTATATGTTGCATCAAACCGAAGGTCACCATCATGTAACCATGGATCTTTCAATTGCTTGTATTGTTTAGCTACAGGGAGGCAAAACAAGCATTTGCATTCCTTAAATAGCAATGTTAGCTTGCCTTCAACTTCACTGACCTACTTAAATATCACAATTGAACATTAAACTAACATGAATTACAATCTAGTAAAGGTACTTCCTCCTGCATGGCTGCATTACATATATAAGGGCTGGACAAGTAACTGCTCTTGCAATGACAATGTAACATGATTAGAGAGACATGGAATCAAAAAAGAAAGAAAGAAAGAAAGAATTAACCCAAAACAGAAAAACAACAGACCTTGTTACGAGGGAAAATGTCAGCAATGAGCTTCTTGTACCTCTTGACAGGTTGTCTTGACCTTGCCCTCAAGGAAGGGCAAAAGAAACAAAGATTGCCACAAGCAGGTAGAACTTGACGGGAAATTACACCAGATACCGCAGTCATTTTCGAATTCCAATATCAAGCAATTAGATAAATGAAATTACAAAAGTTTGGTTTGAAATTTTGCTCTCTTTCCCTTCCAAACCAATCAGAAAAATCCGATTTTGAACGTGAAGAAGGGAAAGAAAGGCTAAAATCTTAACTGGGCACCTTTCAAATTGAACCACCAGCCTGCATATATCAAAATTTGAAGGTAATCAAACTGGGCCTGAAATGGGAAAATGTAGGACTAGAATTTGATCCTTCAAAGGAAAAAAAAACAGCAAAAACAAAAATGTCACAAACATTGGAGGTTGATGATATCAAATTTAAGGAGGAGAAGGTACCAATGTATTAGAGGAAGGTAGGGAATCCCTTAAAACACGGAAGAATGTTTGTGTTATGTTATATGAGAAACGAGATGATGATGATATCCATAAAAAGAAAAAGAAGAAAAATGACATAATCTGAAGAATGTGATGATATGATGACGAGAATTTATGTGCTTGGCGGTGTGGGGTTGTCGGAGACAGAATTTTTTGTTAAAAAATAAAAGAAAAGCATAACCATGTAAGGGAAAATTGCAGCTCTCAAAACAACAGTGCCTTAATTTTTTTTATTTTTTATTTTAATTTTTTCACTGGATTGAACGGTTTCTGGAAGCCCCATTTTCCCTCGTCTTCCTCTATAGTTTATCGGTCCCCAACTTTAGTGTTGGTGCAAAATTTTTGCTATCATGCCATTAATTATAACTATAATTATATCTTAACGATAAAATATAATTTTAATATTAAAATTATTTTTTTCCTTTGTTATGTCAACTTATAACTTTATGAAAAAATAAATGAATTAAAATTACAATTATCTCTTATCAATAAAATATAATTATAATTGGTTATTGTAAAAAATTTCGGTGAAGCATGAAAAGTGGTTTTGCCATATTTTATATTAATTATTGATTAATTAGTTATTATGAGGCATATGCATTAAGCTGCCCCTCCTCTCACAATAGTGTCCTTCCCTTTTATTTTTTAACAAAACGTTGTTGAAAGTGTTGCTGAATTATTTAATGGAGTTTACCTATTAAAAAAGATCGTTTCTGCCTTTTGACTATAGCACTCTATAGGAAAGGGATAATTTTTAATTTTTCTCTTTATCTTTTAGTATTGTATTCATTTTTTGTAAAATATTTTAATCAACAGTCAATGTAGAACGTTTTTAACACTACCATATCAGATTATGGGAAGACCGTTTTTCAAAGTTGTGTTATTTTAGTAGTTATAATTATGGAAAAAATGTTTCTGCAGTTAATGCAGATAAGTTATCTGCATTTATTCTCAAAACGATATTGTTTTGGTATTGAAATCTTAAAAAATTATAAATATAAAGACTATTATAACCCTGAAATAAATTAAAATTATAAAAATACCATAATTTCTGCTTCAAAATGACAAGGTATTGGGCTCATTGCAGATAACTTATCTGCAGTAACTGCAGAAGAAGAAACCCTATAATTATATATTAAAGTTATATATTTTTTTTCAGAAATTATCTACTTATGTGAAAAGTAAAAAAAAATATAATTTTAATATTATAACTATGAGAAAAAAGTATATAATGTTACTTTAGACAATTTTGCATAATATTCATCGAAACGACGTCGTTTTGAGGTTAAAAAATTTAAAACTTAAAATGATAAAAACTATTATAACCCTAAAATAAATTAAAATTACAAATACACCATGATTTTCATCTCAAAATAACGTCGTTTCGGTGAACATTAGACAAAGTTATCTAAAGTAACTTCAGAAAAAACAAACCCTATAACTATATACTATCCGTAATACATAATTATAACTGTTAAAAAGACATAATTTTATGTCTTTTAAAAGGACATACACAAAACCCTTACATTATAGGTATAAAATATCAATACTTTAACATTGCGAATGAAATACTTATTTGTTCCTAATTAATATTAGAAAAAACAAAATCATATTTTCCCTATGAAGTCTATAGTCCAACAGAAGTGGGATGTAAGAAAGTCTTTTCATTTACAAATGAAGCTAAATAACTGCATATTTCATTTTTGTTAAAAGTCATGAAACTCCAATTTCAACTAACACGTGTTACATATTTGATTATTTTTCCCCTCTCGAGTGTAAGGTCGGCCAATCGAATTAGTCCATATTGTCTTTGGTCTTGAGCATTCCACACGTTTAGATCTTTCTTTCTTACCTATTGTCTCACACAAATAAAGATTAAGGACTTCATCCTTGCTTTTGGCTTAGTTTTGCTCAAATAAGTATAAGGACTTTACCCTAAGTTTCTTGCTTTGGCGAACTCCAATGTTTGCTTTACACATTGTGAGCAAACCAAGACTCTTGTTGACCACCAAATACCATTAGCACAAGTGGTAAGGATTTTGTGTCCCTTAACCAGAGGTCTTGAGTTCGAGCCTTGGAAATGGAAAAAATGGTCTCGAGAGAGCCGCCCCCGCTTTGGGTTCGACAATGTTCAAACTGGATTAGTCCAAAGAATGAACCGATTGAGGAGACTAAAAAAAGAGACTCTCATCAGCCAAAGAAATTTGAGCTTTAACCGAATTAGAACAAAATAGATACATAGAACTTGATCAAAGATCAATAACAAAGATTTTACCACCTAGGCTTCCTTACTAATATGATGCACAAATGTAAAAGATGACAGTCAACCATATTAACAACAAATCAATTTGCATATAGCCAGATCATTAAAGACTAAAAATAACATATACTTGACCCATGCACTAATTTGAAAGAACATAATTTTATTCCCAAATCAAATAAAAAAGTTTCTATTTCTTAGGTATAATTTCACGTAGAATTTTATGTTATTATGGACTCACATGATGGTTCCAACAAACTTTATCAAACATAAGCTTTATCCACCTTTAGGTAAACCCTCTCTATAAATAAAAGGGTTAAACCTTATATGTACACGCTACGAAATCCCTAACCTCCTTATTGTCATTATATACATGCATCACCCTCTTTGGCTCCTAGCCTCCATTGTGCAAAATAATTTGCCACCCCTTGTAGTTGTCTTCTTTATAGATATCGATGATCCTCATATTATAAATTGAACATAATCCCTCTTAGATCAAATGTTGGCACTGTTTGCTAGAATTAGTAAATTTTGATTCCCATCCAATTATGATAAACACGCACAACAACCAAAATAGTAGTCACAACAACAACTTCTACCGGCAAATCGTAAAGTGCGAGAGGTGAATAATTTGGGCGCTAATCAAGAAGGAGATTTTGTCCCTCTAGCCTAACAAATCTGCACGCTGTTGTCCATCAGCCTGATCCAATTCAAGTTGTGGTGGTCCAATTGATGTAACACTTGGATGGCATTGGGATTTAGGATGAAAACACAGGGCAACCCAGCAATGCACAAGGTCATGGTGAAGGAGAATGAGACAAAACACACTAACTTGCTGTGAGTGCAGCCTAAAAGTAGGTTGTCAATCAAGAGTAGCCTGTGCAAGATGAAGTGGAAAACAATAAAACATTCACAGACTGAGTCATGGCAATGCAATTCCCTAAAGGTCGGAAATAGCCCAACTTGGCTCAGTACGCTGGAACCAAAGATTCACAAGAGCACCTAGACGCCTTCAAGACAGCCATAATAATAACCCTAACCTGTTATTAATGAAATTATGAATTGATTAGTGGATTAATCATGATAATTATGATCTAATTAGGTTGAAAATCTAATTAGGTAAAAATAAGGCATTGTTGAAAAAAGTGCAAATAGTGTGAGTTTTGGGGTATAACTGCTAGTAGGCAAAAGTAGCCCAAAACTTAAAAATAATTGAATGGAATATAATGAAATAATTTTAGTCAAAGTCTAAAATCAGGTTAGATGAGTTAAATTGACGAGAGTACATGATTTAGAATACGCATAAAGTACTTTGACTTAATGTACTTAGATATTTAGTTCTAAATATCCTAAGTTAGACAACAAACCCATTTCATTCTCCTTCTTCTTCATGTGACCCGCGAACACCATAGGGGAGAAGCTTGAATTGCAACTTCCTTGTTGGTCATCCATTTTCCTTGAGGTAAAAAACCAAAGTTGCTTAGAATCTCAATATAAACCTAACATATAATCCATTTTACCTTGAAAGTGAGTCTGTGAATCCCTTGGAAATATGGCGGTTTTGTGGTGGTAGAAATAAAAGAGACTTGCTTAATCTCATCCAAGTATTGGAGATCACTCTTGGGTTGAATCTTGGTAAGTTGGTGTTTAGAAATCCTATTTTCATTCAAGTTGATGATAATTTAATTTCTAGGTTGACATAATGAGGTATTTTCATGGTTGATGTGGTTAGAGTGGTGTGTAGCCTTAGTTCCTTTGAAAAGTATGCTAAGTAACCATAATAATCGATAGAAAAGAGATCAAATCATCATTGGGATGTTATATGAGATTTTTGAAATTTCATGTGTATATGACTTGATTTCTTGCAATGCAAGAAAATGGTTAATGGTGATTGATATTCCTTGTTGTCGTTGAATTCTAGGAGTGACTTCAGTGGAGGAATAGAGAGCATACAACTATTGGAAACTTGAATCTCATTGGATCCAGTTTTGGTGTGCTTGTATTTTGTTGTTGATTCCTTGTGTTCAAGTACGGTTTAATAGGAAAGCTACTGCAGGTAAGCTTTCAGACATTGTGATTTATCTCGTGCTTGTTCCACCATGCCCTGAAAGGGTAGTGATTTATGTGGTATATGTAATTGCATAAATTTGATATGATGTATTGGGTATATGTATGTGTATGCTATGTGTTTACACTTCGTATGTATCAAGGATGTTTCCTTGTGTAGTTCATAGAGTGTAGGTTCTCTGGCCAGTAGGATTTATTGTTATTGTGGCATGAGCATTCCTAAGAAGGTGTGTCTTGGATGAGCATTATTTGCAAAGCATGTATATGTATATGTTATATCATATGATTTATTGCTTTTATGCTGAAGTGAACTTGGGGTGTGGAAGAATATCCAAGAACCCATAATTTACTGAGATATATATGTATATCTCACCTCGCGTTATGGAAATTTCAGGTGCAGGTACTGACGGTGCAGGAGCATCACAGGATACGAGACAAGGATATTTGCCATGATATTGCATGCTAGGGAGATCGTATTTTGATGTTTACACACACACACACACACACACACACACACACACACACACACACACATATATATATATATATATATATATATTTCACATGATGTTTTGTAATTGGAGAGTATAAGGGATGTCTTTCCTCTTTTGGCTATACCTATTTATATATGTAGAGACATATGTATAAGTTTATGCTTTGATGTATTTTTTTGGTTAACGAAGCATGATGTTTATAGCTTATTAAGAGACTTAGACTTATGTATGTATATTTGTATATTATGTAAGGGACTTTGATGTTTTTCCATTGGTAAGGAATAAAGAAGAGTATGTTGATATTCATAAAGAGATCCATGGATGGACCATGGGATTAAGCCTTTAAATGGCTTTATGTATGTTGGGTTAAGTGAATATTAGGTCATGTTTCAATTTTGGAAGAAATCACAGCCTTTGATACAACAAAATGTTGTATTTTAGCTTCTGCCAGGTACGGGAATGGATTACCATATGTTGGTAATCAATTACTACGTAGCAGGGGATGAAAAATCAGTTTATGTTGAGGTGTTAATCGATTACTCTGTTCTGGTAATCGATTACCAGAGTGTGGGTAATCGATTACCTCTGCGAGACAACAAAAACATAGTTTAGTAAAAAACACATATCCTGAACTACAGAGCTCCAAATTGAGTGAGGTTTGGACCTATATGAAGCTAATACATTATGTATGTGGATAATTCTAAGTTTAATTTTGAAGTTGTTACCCTATTTCCAAGAATTTGATTTGAAGCAGTGGGTTCGCGATAGGTGTACCTTGAGCTATATTGATCCAATTGAGGCTTATGATATGCTGTTGGAAAGCTCAAGATGTCTAGTTTAACATAGTAAAAGATGAGAATTAATGGTGAGGGCTAACAGTCGCAGTTTTGGAAAATTGTAAGGCTATTTAGTGTCAACAAATGAGTACCTCACTACAGAAAATGAAATTTTGTGGTTTCAAAACCTTGGGAGGTCTGGGACTCTCAAGTTAGTATTTAAAATAGTTAGTATGATTATTCCGCAATGTTAAATGGTTATAATTAGAGTTTTAATTTAAATATGTTGTTGATTTTAATCAGAAACGTACGAATGTTTAAAAGAAAAAGTTTATCCGTGTTTTTAATTGGACTGATGTGATTGTAACTGCGCTTAATGTTATACATAATGATAACACATTGATCCGGTAACGGGATGTTACAGCCACGTACCTGGTTGGGGCCAAAGACCCATTCATTGCTAGGGTATTCACTTCCCTATTCACTGGACCAATCTTGTATTGGTTCATTGCCCCTGTCATTGTGCTCCATCAATGGATCTTTCCCAGAAATTCCTCCTAAGCTTTGCTACCAGCAAGATTAATCCTAAGTTGTACCAAACCATGTCTCTAATTTTGCAGAAAGAACGTGAGCCACTTCACGATTATCTAAACATACAAGTCCACAACCTAGATGAAAGTATGCTTCTGAATCTCCTCACAACTGGACCAATGCTTGCCGTGCCTTAATGTGATTCTGCCACTGAGCCGAAGAAACCATAAATATATGGAAGGACGACAAAGCATATTGTGGCTCGATAAGTACTACTAATTAATATATGGAAGGACAACAAAGCATTCGACATTGCATAAGCAGTCTACAAATGCCATATGAGTAATTTTTGAACCATCACCTTTAATCATCTTTTCAACTCGTGGAATCGAATTCGAACCAGAAATTAAGCGGAGCAACATTGTTATTCTAAACTAAAAAAGAAATACCTTTAGCCATCACTGTTCCCCCGCACTCCGGATTAGTCCCATAGCCGGCTCAAAGAGTCGAAGCTCGTGGAGATACCGGAGGGAGCCAACTCGTCTCAAAGAGATAATTAGGGTTGGGTAACTCCAAAAAAAAAAAAAAAAAAGTCAAGGAAAGGTTTGGCAACAAAGAAGAATCCACCATTGCTTGAATTAAGCTTGCGAATTAATGGCAAGCTGGAAATTCTTGCATGGCACATGATCAGCCTAGTCTTAAGCAAGTAAAATAATCAAGCAGTTGTACTGAATCTAAGCATGAAGAAAAATAAAGAAATGGTGAAGTGATCATTAGCCAGCAAATAATTCTACAATTACACCACTGTTGTGGATAAGTCTAATACATCTTCAAATTCGTATTCACATCCTTTTGCTATAAGATAGGGAATAATTTTTACAAACTTAATTATCCATTAAAGAAAGTGCACTTTCTTCAAGTTAGAATTTCATTCTGTTTTTAACTCCGCACCTTATGCTCCAGAACTGCCACCATGATCCCGCTCAACATGCTGCACGAGGGACACCGGGTCTATAAATCCTCTACTACACTTGGGACATGCATCAATTGTCACCTTCTTCACCCTAGATTGGTTTCTATTCCTTTCATGAACTTTTTGCACATGATCCACCAAAGTACTGACCGAGGAAAACTTTGCTCCACACTGAGGGCATTGCTCCACTTGATCATTTCTATTTCCACTGCCACTGCCACTGCTCTGTCCCACCCCATCCCTTGCTGTTTGCCAAGCTTGGTTAATTTCACCACTCAATTTTGTCATGCCAGCTTCAGCTGAAGCTCGAAGATTAGAAGCCACGTTAAGCAAGCTTGTAGTCCATTTAGATGACGTGGTTGAAGTTAAATTCGGCTTTGACGCCTCTTTTCTACTCCCATTCAAAAGACTCATAAATGAAAAACTTGTTTCCAACTTTTTGGGCCCAGAACATTTGTGATCAGGTCCAAACCTGTGCTTCAAACAATGGTCCACCATGCAGTCCCTGCACTTAATTGTGTTTGAGAATACCAAGATCTCTCTGCATAATGGGGCCGGGCACTTTTTCTTCTTTGTGACTTTCTCATAATTTGATGGATCACAGTCAGTGTCAACATGTTTTTCCCACGTTATATTTGGATCTTGATCTGGAATTAGGCGAACTCCTTTGGCACAAAGGGGACATATAACAACAGTCACATCTCGTTTGTTGGCTTTTGTACAATGATGCTTAATGTAACTTCGGTGCTCCAAACAATATGCCTGCAAAAAAAACAGAGCAAACAAAGAGTTCTTAAATTGAAAACAAGGAGAATAGTGATCCACAAATCCAAACATAAGATCAACATAATCGATCTCTAACTGAAATTAATTGATAATAATATTGATTATAACACTAATTAATTGTTATAATATCTTATCCAAAAAAATAATATGAACTCAACCAGATAAATTAGGTAAAAAAATTATTTCTCATCTTAATCGCAATTTTCTTCCTTCGTTCCTTCCTCCGTAATCAAAATCAAAATACGGTTTTCAGAAAAATTTTAAGAAAATAAAAATAAAAATCAGAGATTGAAAGAACACGGTTTTCAATGCACGTGGAATACAATGCAATAACACAAACAAATTGCTATCCTATAATCATATAAATTAAATTTAAAAGAGAAGGAAAACAGAGAGAGAGAGAGAGAGAGAGAGAGAGAATTGAAAAACCTGATTACAGCGATCACATGTGAAAGGCAAGAAATCAATCTGTTTGCAATCAACAAGGGCACAATGCTTGCCTAGATCTGGAAATTCTGGAGTTCCCATTCAAAATCAGCTTCCGCTTCAGCTTCACCTTCTTCAGCTTCAGCGGAAACGAAATCCTTCACACGAAAACAAAACGGAAAACCTGGAAATTGAATCTGAATGTTTTAAGAATTTTGATTTCCGCGGATATAGCGTTGAAAGAGATGTACCAACTAACTAACCAGAAATTCAGGAATTGGAGGGAATCCAATCGAATCGTCGGAAAATCCTCTATTAATTAATTAATTAATTAATTATTGAATGATAATTTAAGTAACTTGATTAATTAGTTTTGGTTTTCCATTTGGACTCCGTCGCCGTCAAGTTAGAACTAATCAACCCTCCATTTTTCTTTCCTTCGTTGAATGTGACTTGTTATTCACGACGATGACACACGAAATCAAATTCTTATCTTTGAAAAACCACAATATTATTCATTTTTTAAAATTGTTTAATTGAATTCTTTATTTTTATATCATAACTTAATATATTATATTAATTTTGATAACAGCTATTTCGATGCGTCGAACTTTTTCAAAGAACATTCTCTATTCACGTTTTTATGTTTTAGGAATATAGAGTTTTTCAAGCTGTTCAATATTCATTCATGTTTGGAATGGAACATAATAAATCGAACCCAAATTATGTGTCCATGCTTCACTTTTCAATTTTCTTGTCCAAAAGTTCAAAATTGAATATTTTCAATTGGTGATTTTTCATGTTATATTTAATTTTTTATACATTGTCAGTTAAAATTTTTTATTTAATGATGTATTGATACATTATGCAATTAGTTTAATACTTTTTTTTTTTTATAACAATTAGTTTAATACTTTATGTATTCATTACTATAGTTAAATTTGGGGCTTTCTATCTCTGCTGTTAATGCAGATGATCAGATTTTGCAGCAGATATAAACAAACGTGGAATTCATCATATTTTTTTAAAAAATAAAATAAAATTAATATGACATAAATTGTGATGAGTCTATAGATGTAAAAAAAATTCTTCTTCTGTGACAAAAGAAGTGTTTTACCCTTAAATTTATCAAAAAATGTGACAACATCTCTATTTTATTGATGAGGTTAATTTTTGGTAGATGAAGTTCCCCTCCAACTCTCACAAAAAAAAATAGTGGGTCCCATGAAAAAAAGGAATGGGTCTCTCTGCAATGAAATTTTTTTGGATGCACGGCACTTTGTGCTCTTCCCATTAAGAGAATGACATGTGGATTAAAAAAAAAAATTTCTTTTCTTTCCCCTGTTTTCTCTTCTCTCTCCTGGTTTCATTAATCTGTTTCACCCAATAAAAAATGATCCGAGAGCACTTAAAAACATCTCCTATGCAATAAAGTTAATTTAAAAAATTATACTATGTCTTACCAGTAAGACATAATATGTGACAGATAAATATTTTTGCAGCAATTACAAAATGATTTTATGTTTATTGAAATGAGGAGGAAGTTTGAACTTGATGCAAATGGCTAAAATATCTTTGGCTTTATATGGATATCAAACAAATAATACATTATTTATTCATAACCCATGATTCCCATTATTTGTGGCAACTACCAACATCTATATTTTCAAATTCTTGCCTCTAAGCCCCATAAAGAGCCAATTTTCCTGAACCGAGACAATATATAGATCAACAATCAACATGCACATACTAATGCCCGGAAACAAGACAGAAAGATTATTTCGATTCTCCTTTACCATAACCTATTAGAAAATGTATGGCTGATATAGCAGATAAAGTCTCGTTTGTCACTCTCACAAAAAAGTAATGGGTCTCATGAAAAAAAAGAGTGAGTCCCCTTGCTATAAAGTTAATTTCAAAAATTATATTATGTCTTACCGATAAGACACAGTGTGTGGCCGATAAACATGTTTGCAGCAACTGTTGATATGATTTTCTGTTTAAAAATATAGATTTTTTCTTCTTCTATAAACTAACTGCTATTGAAGCCCTGACAAGTTCTACTAATCTAGTTTAGGGTTTGAGTCTCTCTAATGTTCCTAGGAGTTGTGACACTTAAAAATTGTATTTACTATTGTTTGAGCATGTTAAATCTTGGGATTTAGCTTGACCGCCCCTAAACAAGCAACTCTTTGATGGAAATTAAAAAAATAAAATAAAAATAAAAATAAAAAATTCTTGGAAATCCTAATTGATACCTCCACAAATATTTCTTAGAAAAGCAAATTATGATAGTACATGGTCCAAGCTGAGGGGGAGGCAGGTGTATCAGGACGTGCAGTGTGAAGAGTCACATTGAATGGTGGTCCAGTCTTAACTCATCTTCAGTGCTCAGGTGATTCCTACCCATTAAACTTTCTGCAAGTTGACAAACCAGCCAATTAGGGAGTAGGGACACATATAAAACACTATGGAAAATTTCAAGGGGAAAAAAACAAACAAAATCACACGGTTCTTTGAGGTCACAGACTTATAGATAGAACATTAACATGTGACATCACAAAAGACAAACTTGGGAGTACAAATCAAATATTTTTTGAGTGTGAGATTGCAATGAAATCCAACACCACCTCACTGACAAGCTACAAGTCCCGTTTCAACTATATTATTAATGAGTTAATGTGTAGTCAGAAGCTTTTGGCCTTCATCTATGTTTTGCACCTAAAAAGTCACACCTGCTTTTATTTTAAAAGGAAACCAGTCAAATAAAGTAAACAAAACAAAAAAGATATGCAACATAATAACAGAAAAGGATCAAAGAAAAAGAAAAAAAGAGAGGCAAGTACATATATTTAGGATCACCTTGGAATCCTATTTTATAACTACAATAATTTTTCCCTTATGAGATTAGTTAATGATACCTAATTGTCACTCTTACTATAGTCTATATATTTCAGAAACTGAGCTTTATGCATTCCCATTTCCCTGTCCTGCATTAAATCATATGCCATAATAGCTCATCCTTTTTTTTAATCTATTCTCTGTACTTTTCCTCTCCTGGTAAGCTCTAACTCCCTCTATTTATGTTTCCTTCAGCATTTTGACTGCATAGTGAAAGTACAAAGGCAGAAGAGTGTTGACTAGGCCAATCAAGAGTTCAGATTCATCTTCACTGTTGTGTTCAACAGAATCATGGATGGAAGGCCAGGGAGTGAAATGCAACCCTTTGTTGTGACACCACCAAAGGTTGCAGAACCAAATCGTTATTCATCACATAGATCAATTGAGACCCTGGTGGTGGTCATAGCAGTGATCACAATAGTTGGTGTCATTGCAGGGATGATTGCTCGGTTATGTGGTGGAAGGCACTTTGGAGGCAACGGAGAGAATGACATAGAAGGTTGGGTTGAAAAGAAGTGTAGAAGTTGCATTGATGGAGGACTACCACCTCCACCTCCACCTCCACCTCAAGAACCAAAGCCAGAAGCAACAGGGAAATGAAAATGAGCTAAGATGCATTTTATTCTAACACAAACATTGTAAGTTACATAGAACTTGTTGAATGGTTTGTTTTTATCTAGACAGTGAATGCCATGTGATATAAGTGTTGGGGAAAGTCTACACAAGCTTTAACTGAAGTATAAAGTAGCACTGTGTTAGTTTTAGAACCTAAACCATTGATGTTAGACTCACCAAGTTGCTGTTATTGGACTTTCTATTTCAATTTTACTTTGTTGGTCATTCTTTGTTTCTTCTTAAATTAACCATCGTTGTCACATAGAGAACATATTTTAGCTTCTTCAAACAAAATATGTTCCAAAATTTGCAGAGATGTATGATGCTATAGCTACTAGGAGATTCACACAAAGAAAAAGGGGAAAATGACATAGCATAAATTTTCAATTTTCAACCAGCGAAATTAAATATTAAAACTTGATTCAAGTCATTTTTTTTATTTTTATTTTTGTACTTTATCTTAGAAGAAAAATAGTTGAAGCGATGGTAAAAACTAAAAAGAGTCTAAAATAAAAATTCCACTGCTCCATCATTACATGAGATGAGACTATTATTTTTCAAATAGAAATTCAA